CTGAAATTGGAATCGAAATGGATCATTCTGATTCTAACTATTTAGTTGGACAGAATCGAAATCATATTCTCAATTCGGGTGGAATGGCATTTCCCCATTTAAAAAAATGATATTTCCTTCTCCTCTCTAGAATAAAATCCCATTCCAACTGTAAACCAAACGTACCCTATATATAGAATGAGAGAGAAAGAGAGAGAGAGAGGCCTAGCTAAAAGCCTAGAAATTTAGGGATTGGAGTGTTGATAAGTTGAAAAATCTTCCTATTGATTTTAACACCATTTCTGTTCAGTTTGGCACAAGTACATTGATTTTTTTGTTGTGAGAGCACAAGGGGCTCCCCAGTCCCCACAGAACGCGCCCGGCAGCACGATCCGATGGATTGTGCTATAGTTCTGTTTCAATCAATGTAGTCTTTTTGTCTCTTTTCTAATTTTCAGAACTTCTTACTTACACCTTTTCGCTTCCACCATAAAAATCTCTCTCTTAAGTATTGCCTGCTTGTTGTTATTCTAAAAAACTAATCTTCCTATACTAGATTTTCTATCCACTAGATTCAAATTCAATAAAATTTCGATAGATATTTAAAATTTAGATTTTGAATTTTTTATTCAGTTTCTTTAAATGAAAGTTAAAAAAAATTAAAATATTTGGTTATAATTTTGGATATATGATTACTGATTTTTAAAATATTTGAACAATTATTTATCTTATATGATGACCGGTGAGGTGTCAATGAGTATTGTAAAGGAAAAATTAATATCTAATAATAAATATAATAGACAATGATGACTGAACCACCATAATGGGTAATACATATATGATATGACGTATGCATGTACATCATGAATGACGTAAGCAGACGTAGCTGTGAATGTTATCATGGCATGTATAAGTTCATCACATGCCACTTTCCTTCCCATCCTTGCATTCGGGGAGTTAATTAAGCTGATCGTCACTCTCTGAAACATCCCCACATGCATGGGGGTGGGTTGGTCGCCACTCCAATCCATATTCCATATTCCATAGAGTTCATAGACTTACATCAGTAATGATGCATCCCGCTCACAGAACCAGAATCTGAGTCAAGTCAACAGAAAACAAACACCATAATTTAACTCTTCATTCGTACTTGTCCCTTATTTATTTAACTTTATAAAATATAAAAAAAAATGAGTAAAAATGGAAAAACTCTTCGCTTCTTCAGGGGTCGTTCACTAGGCTTTAGCTCCAGACTCCAGAGTCCGAGCGCAATTATGCTCATTGGAATCCCAGCCCAGTCCTTCCTGTTCCAATTGCCCTTATATTTATTATTATTTATGACTTGTGAGAATGTCCACGAAGGCACTAACGGACGGAAATATTCCACAGTCACAGCATGCAGAAAATGAGTCAGAGAGCAAATTTCAAGATTGAACCCTCGAATCATTCACAATTTCGTTTTAGTTCGATCGGACAAGCCCACGTCACAACTCACAAACCACACAAGTTAGTTTTAGGAAATATTTAGAGAACAAATTCAAATTGTGATTTATTTATAAAATCATCACATGGATCAGCTGATTGTTGGAAATATCAATAAATGGTGATCCACCGGCACCGGTATGGGCATGGCATAGATGTGACATAAGAGTGACATATTCATGTGCAAATCAATGACGTTTCCTAGATCCATCCAACACAACACAATTAACACACCCCATACAACATGAAACACTATCTCTATTTGCTTCTAATTAGTTGAAAACAATTATGTTCGTATAATCTGATTTTAATTATTTTTCGGTAAAGTACGGACAGGCTTAATGCAAATTTTTGAATTCCACTGTAGATTTAAAGGTAGTTCTCACTTTAGCCATAAGTAACTCTTTCCCTCTTGTGGTTTTCACTCTGTTCCGAATAGCCTTTTGGTGGTAGTTTTTACAATGTTCTAGATAGCCCTTCTCTGAGTAGCTTTTTTTGTGATATGAACTTGAAATATATGGTAAGCTCTAAATATCATTTAGGCCTCGCTCATTTTTTGGTAGATTATTTATCTGAATAAATGCAACTATCTAGGTAAGTTTTTTTTAGTAAACACTTATTCGGGCCAGTGCATTTACCCATGTTTTTTTATTTCCAAGGTAAATAAAGTAATGACTATTTTAGCCATAAAAAATCATTATTAAAAAGGGTATTTTTGTCCCATTCAAGTGTTAGCAACTTTCCCCCTAGGTGGGAAAGTTATTTATTCACCTAAGAAATGGGTATCACTTACTCAGATAAGTGATGCCCATGAAAATAAACTTTCCCTGTCCCATTCAAGTGTTAACAACTTTCCCCTTAGGTGAGAAAGTTATTTACTCACCTAAGAGATGGGTATCACTTATTCAGATAAGTGATGCCCAAGAAAATTAACTTTCTCTGGTCCCCATATAAATCTGAAAAATGAACATGGGATTCTTGGTAATGGGAACCAAAATCCCATTGACCAATTTTCCCCCATCTAAAAATCCAAAAAAARAACGCCCCCTTTATTATCTGCTTGTCTAGTACTGTCAAAAGCCTTAAAACTAAGGAAATGCATCAAGCAAAGCCATTTACCAATGAAGAGGAGAATTAATTGTCCTATATATGAAGCTGGATACATGAAGAATTCACACAAACCACATCTATTAGGAAAGAATGGATACCGACACAGGTTGTGGTCTATTTATTTTTATTATATAAAAATTAAACAAAATATTGAAGGCCATAATTTTTGCACTTCCATAAGAATATAGGCTCAATTTGGGAAGAGCATTGTCTTAAAAGACTTAAGCCTTCAAGTGCTAGGCTTATGCCTTTAGGCAAGGCGCACAGATTTTGCCTCACGTCTTAAGCCTCACAAATTTAATGCAAGGATTAAACATTTGTAAAGATGAGGCGTAAGCCTCAAGTTTCAAGGCGTGAGGTCAAGAAAAGGCGTACTCAAGTATCAATGGTTATTTAGTGATTTAATGCAAAAAATATATATTTGATGCATTTTTAGTTCTAAATATATGGAAGAATAACTTCAATAATTATGAGCCAAATAAATAAATAAAATATAAAAATGAAAAACCAAATGGGGAAACCAAGTTCTATTAGTTTCGGCTAGTGTTTCAGGAGAGTTCAGTGCAAAACAGGCCAATCAAATTCTTAGTTTATCTTGGCTATATCAAGTGGTTTTTCTTGTTATTCTAATTCTAACATTCTAGGTTTCTTATTTTTCTCATTCCTTTTCCTAATGGATTTATTTCTTTTTATCGTTTATTTTTTGCATATACCAAAGTAACCAACTTATTTTCTTTCTTTTAAACTATTGAATGACCATATATCTAATATCCAATTATATGAATGATTCTTCATATATTTCCTTTCTTCCAAATTAGTCATTTGAATTATTTGAGAATTTTGCATTTTTAAACATGAAATGTAAAATGTTTAAATTATTAGCTGATTCATTATTATTTTATTTAATGCTTAACCATTGAAACCATTTATAAACTTTTAATTTATTGATATTTAAACGTTCTATCATTCTAACTTATTATATTATATAATATTTTTTTATGAATTTATACTTTATATAATTTTATTCTTAAGCTTTAAGGCTTATGCCTCACCTTTTGGGCCATTATACCTCAACTACACATATAACCTTTTTGAACATAATATAAATACAAATACAAATACAAAATTTAGAAATACAATATACGACCAAAAGATGGAGATTTTTTCTTTTCGCTGGCAAATACTAGATTGAGAATTTGGGGATTCGGAGTGAACTCCCCCACCCCCCACTACTCCCCACTCGAAGTCTTACATTTCCTTTTTCCCTCTCCATGGAATCACTAACTTTCAGCCAAGATTTACACCTTCGTCATGGGCTGCTTCCAAGAATTGTATTAAAGGGTGTTCTTTCTCAAGGAACCATGAACATACGTTACAAATTATTATTATTATTAAAATAATAATCGTGAAGGACATGTATTTGACATCTGTCGGTTGGCTACCCAAATGACACGTTTGTTGATACTGTAGTAATCAATCAGAAGCACAAAGTCTGGTCAATCTGCCGACCAATTGAAAAGGTCGGTCCAACGGATTGGAATTTCCTTTAACTGATGACGACTTCGCATCATCCCCAGACGCATTCAAGGAGTTGATAATTGAGAGTTGAGACTTGATGATTGGAAAAATGGGGAATTTAGCCAAATGGTTAGGTCTACTTGATAGAACCAAATGGTCGGTTCCATTCGGTCATATATTTTGTCCCAATTATTATCGGGTCAAGACTGGATATATCGACATAGGGATGTGGGAAAATTTTATGGGTAGAAGATCCGAGCTCCAACCCTAAGTGGATTTGGGGCTGATTTGCGCGGACCATGACCCTCCACTTTATGTGGACCTTAATTGCCAGATTAAACTGGACCAGCCAACGACTTGGGGCGAAAGATTCGTAAACAACTTGCTAATTGTGTAGCAGTTGATTACTATTTGCTTTACAATTAGGGAATATATACTAATAGCTTTTTCTTTATGCTTACTTTTCAAAATTTTCCTTTAATAGGAACTTATGCCCACTGAGTCCTATTTGCAAATTCTCTGAATCCCATAGCTCTTCTATTGACTTAGAGGAGAGCTCTTAACAGATTAAGTGTTAAATTTTTCTTTCTTGCAAATTCTGTGAATCCCATAGCTTTTTCTTTATGTTTCTTTCCTTTTCTTTTTCTTGTTTTTTAAATTTTTTCCTTTTTTCTTCTACCTCTATAAAACAAAAGCACATTTATTTTAGTTTTTCTCTTAATTTTGTTTGGTTGCAGTGCAATGGGAGCCCCATATTAATTTACTACTCATCTGCATGACTGTATTTGAGGTTGTATTTGATTGCAATACAAATAAAGTTGCATTGATGCAAAATCATGGCAGTACAAATAAAATTGCACTGCAACCAAACAAAATTAAATGATAATTCGCATGAGATGAGAGCATGTGTTTTGGAAATTCGATAATTAGTCTTCCGCTCTCACTGGCACGTACATGTACTTCTTCCTACTTGTTGCTTTTAGAGATTAATCATATTCTGCGTACATCCAAATCGTAATTCCGATCGATTGATTCAAGGAAAACCCACCTCCGCGATGCTTTCCTCCAACACTACATTCACCGACCACCGTCAACCTCTTGTTCTTTTCTCCTCAGCAGTGGAGCTAGCTCTTCTCATATTCATTTCTCTGATAAATTTTGTTTTAATAATCTAGTGTCTGGTCTGGGAAATGATTCCCATCATACGTCGTAAATTGTGACAGATTTTTATCAAATATGGACGCGTGGACTCCTTGTTTATTCGTCAACGGGCTAAAGATTTATATTGGGGTCACAAATTCAATGCACTTTAATTACTCACTTTCCTAGAAGCTCCGCCTCACAGTAACATCGTGGCATCTTATCGCCTCCTTCCTCGCTCAGTCACTCGCCGGCTTCCATGGAATCGAAATTCCTTTCCGCCGGATCATATTCGACCCTGCCGGAGAGTTATGTCAGGCCGGTAACGGAGAGACCTAGGCTCTCTGAGGTCACAACCTGTGAAGACGTTCCAGTTATCGACTTGAGTTGTTCGGATAGAAACCTAATAAGCCAACAAGTTGGGGATGCATGTCGGCGTTTTGGTTTCTTCCAGGTCTCTTTTTCCATTGTTTCTCTACTCTTATACCTTGGATTCTTTCTTTCTTTCTTTCTTTCTTCTTTCCACTTTGTTTCTTACTTTTTGCTGTCATTATTGTAGTGATATTGATTGATGGGTGGTGCCGCATGAGTGTAGGTGATCAACCATGGGATATCTGTGGAATCAACGTCCAGAATGTTTGAGATGGCGAGGGGGTTCTTCCAGCTGCCGGTGGAAGAGAAGATGAAGTACTACTCCGATGATCCATCCAAGACGCTCAGATTGTCTACAAGCTTCAATGTGAAGAAAGAGACAGTTCACAATTGGAGAGACTATCTCCGACTCCACTGTTATCCTCTCGATCAGTACGTGCGCGAGTGGCCTTCTAGTCCCTCTTCCTTCAAGTAAGAATCTCTCTCTCTCTCACAAAATTTCTTCTTTCTGTTTATTGTTTTTGAGTTTTTTTTTTTTTTTTTTTTTTTTTCTTCTGAATAAGTGACTTGTCCCCATTGTTTTGGTCTGAGCCCTGCCATACTGAGTCTGGCACGGTGCAGCAGTTACTAGTTACTACACTATTTCTCCCCCCGTGCTAAAAGACAAAAAACAGAGAAAGAAAGAAAAGTAAAAAAAATAAAAACTCCGTAGCGGACTGAAGCAGTTATTTTGCTGTGCAAATATGATGTTTCTCGTTTGTGTTTTATAATTTTTCTTAGTGTAATTGTCCATCTGAAGCCGTTATCACCCCTCCCTCTCAAAAAAATTAAGAAAAGGAAAGATAATATAGAAAACAGGGAGACAATTTGGTAATTGGATACTGCATTAATAAGAGAGAAAAAAAAAGAAAGAAAACAGTGAAAGTAATAATATTGGCAAGTGGCCCCAGGTTCTGAGGACTGGGGAGGAGAATAGAAGGGGGGAGGAGGCAGCTTCTCAGTCCTTAGTCGTATTCCGTCAAGTAGCCAACTTGGTGGGACGTGGGAGGGAGAGAGGGATATAGGGATAGTGCTAATGAGGTGGAAACACGTGTTACTGTGGATTCTGGCTCTAGGTGCGCCGTCCCGTCTACGACGAGTATGATTGTCCGATTTTAAGGTTAAGGAATCCAGCGCCCAGCACCCACATGACGTTGAGTGAGAGATTCGATAGTAATACCGAGACGTTCGCTAGACGACTGGGTTTAGTCACGCCCAACCACAAAATTCCAAGCCAGAAGAGAGGAGGCCCTAAAATATTATATTTGATGGATGGATGGATGGAAATCGGAAAAGGGCGGTGTGTCTGCGACCATGACTGAGAATCTGAGATGAGAGACAGACATGGTGAGAAAGAGAGGGAGGAGAGTATCAAAATAGCGAGATCAGATCACATCTATGCCCCATATTAGGAACATCTACCGAAGTTTTCAGTGGGAGATGTTCTTGGGACATGCTGTGGGGCGCAGAGGTGTTTAAAAACGGTTTGTTTGAGATTCTTTTCTCTCTCATCATTACTATTTTACTGGTACACTTGTGATAGTGTGAAAGCTACTTCAAATTTTCATTACCACGGCTTAAACTATTTGATTAGGAAGCAAACGTCAAGTTAATGACATAATCAATTGGGACAGTTTATATATATAAATGCGCCTAACAATAACATGGCCTGGATGACTAATCACGGCATCAATTAAATACCACAACAATGCATTCCACCTGACCAGCCCATCCTATAGCTATATTATATTTAATTTGATTGACTATAAGTTTATAACCCACCACCACATAAATAAATAAGAAGAAAAAAACATTCTCAGAGGGGATGGGCATGGGAGCTGGGAGCTGGGGGTGGGCTAAGGGATAAGCACGTGAACTGACCACCGGATTTGAATGAGGTGATCAGAATGGGGCATAAGGAGATATACTTGTACGAGCACATTAAGTTCATGCTAAAGTCTGCTGTCCACATCATTTCTTTTTCATCAAAAAAGCAAACCAATAAATTGGAAATTAAGAAAAAGAAGAGTGGAGGAGGAAAAGGGAGATATGTCTTAGTTCAAATCAAGGTTTTAAAAGTTTAAAGGTGAGGTCGATGTAACTAGCAGAGGGTGATCATGGGATGGACCCCCTAAAACTTATGCAGGTCCAAATCCAAGTTGAGACTGAAAGCCCAGAAACTTATATGGGTTTGGCCAGGCCGACCTAGAAAAGGATGTCCCTAGGGGGTGAGCATGTGATGAACGAAGTTGCTATTATGACATGTGGTATATTGAGAAATGAGAAATATGGTGTGGTGGAGATGCTATTCAAGTTGAGAAACGGTACAAATTAGGGATTCCACTTTTCAGTTGCGTGAATTACTGAATTAAAAGTCACAACACACAAAAGGGGGCAGTAGTGGCAGCACATGATTAACTAACTGAGTAGGATGACTATGAGAAAAAGAGGGGTGAGTTGTGATTACTGCTCTCCAATCTTCTTATCGATTTCCATATTCTGCATGATGTCTCTTTTCATCTAACTTTGCATGTTTGCATCCGTCCTTCCAGCATATTTCTTATTTCTTCCTCTTCCTTTCACATGAAGTCAAAAGTATCAACTTTCATTATATATAATGAACAGGGAGATGCAATATTTTATCATAGAATATATTGCTTTGCTGCATCAAGCATGACCTTGACCTTGTATTTTTATTTTAGTTTAATTTAGGGTTGTGTGAGAGGAGGCCCAGGAAAGGAGGGCTTTAACTTAAAGCCGTTTAGTGGTGGTGGCTTAGGTCCTGTTTGAAAGGGCTTCAGCATTGATTGAATTGCATTCGATCGAACTACTGCTTCAGAAAAGTTGGTTGAAATAGCGTAAAATTGATTTTTAGGTCTTTCATGAAACATGACTTGAGGGCTTTTTATGTAGGGCTACCTTACTTTTTTTGTGTGGAGCCACCTTGAAACGCCAGATGGAGAAGCCACCGTCTCAAGCGAGTTCAGATCTGCGCCCCACAATGCCCCCAAAGCACATCCCGACTTTGTATTAGAAACATCAGACATCATCGGAGTTTGGGATGCGCTGTGGGGGGCAGATGTGAGAAGCTTCTGTACGGAACATATCAATAATGTTGAAAATTGGTTTTAGTCTTCTAGAAATTAGAAAAAACCTCCCAAAGGAAGTTGGATCCAATGAAAACCAGATTTTACAGCACGTCAAAATCCTGCATTAATAAAATTAAATATGGGAGATATTCTGAATGCACGAGTAAAAACGCTGTCAGGTTGGTGTGAGGCGTGTTCTTTCCTCTGTGAAGAACAAATCCGAGTTCCCATCCAATTGGTGTGTGAGTGAGTGTGTCCAAGTTCCCAACACCCACCATGACTGGTATTTTGGCCTCTGATAGAAAGAGGTTTCCCTACCTGTACCCTTGATTTTTTTTTCAGTATTTTGGGTAGCATTTTTATATCGTGGGCTACAGCTGGTCCACCTAAGTCATTTCTGAAAAGTATTCGATCTCTCTTGGAGTTGGATCCCATCCAAAACAATCACATGCTCGGTAGACAGACCAGACAATCACCATTCAAACAGCCTGTTTTTTGTCCAGAAAAGGCGGGTAGTCAAACCTGAAGGTTGAAGGGATGTGGATGTGGGCTGAAATTTCTGCAATGTTGATATGATAATTGAAGCATCCCAACTATTCCCAACATTAAGATGTGATTGTTGAGTTTCTTTTTTCAATATGTATGTGTGTGTGACAGTGTGAGAATGATCTGGTTGCACTACTWCCTTGCAACAGCATCCGTGTTTTCTTCCCTTTTCATTAATTAAAATTTGTCTTCAAAGTCTGGGATTAATAATAATAATAATAGTTTGTTTAATTGTATGATATGAATAGGGAAATAGTGAGTTCATACTGTAAAGAAGTTCGGCAACTAGGGTTGAGATTACTGGAATATGTATCAGAGAGCTTAGGGTTAGAAGGAGACTACATGGAGAAGGTATTAGGTGAACAAGGGCAACACATGGCCGTTAACTATTACCCACCATGCCCTGAACCGGAGCTGACATACGGATTACCGGCTCATACCGACCCCAATGCCATTACCATTCTTCTTCAAGACCAGCAAGTGACGGGTTTGCAAGTGCTCAAGGATGGCAAGTGGCTGGCCGTAAATCCCCACCCAAATGCATTTGTTATAAACATTGGTGATCAGTTACAGGTAATAATATCACATTAATTTACATTATTTACATGATGGTTGATGTATTATGCATCACATCCCCATGTGATTCACCATCATCTATCTCTCCATTAAATTGCAGGCATTGAGTAATGGACGGTATAAAAGTGTGTGGCATCGGGCGGTTGTCAACTGTGATAAGCCCAGGATTTCAGTTGCTTCATTCCTATGTCCTGCAAATGATGCGGTGATTGCCCCAGCCAAAGGCCTCACCGACGATGGAACTCCAGCTCCGCCCTTGTATAGAAGTTTTACCTATGACGAGTACTACAAAAAGTTTTGGAGCAGGAACTTGGACCAACAACATTGCCTCGAGCTTTTCAAGATTTGAAACCTGAATCAATCAATCCTTGCCTCTTTGTTTGTTTTTTAATTATTATTATTATTTACTCTGGTTCGATTGGATTTAGTTTTATTTCCCTCTATTTTATCTCTTGCCTCTTCTTTGTTTATGTCATTTTCCAGGATTTAAATAATGGAGAAGGAGGAGATAATCATTTAAGAACAAATGGGTGCTGATCACGGTTTCAACCAAATGGATGTTAATTGAAAAAGTATACACTAATCACAACCATTGATTTTGTTTCCATTTTGATTTATTTTTACCTTATTTTAGATTAAAAAACTATGCATTAGAGGATTTCGATTCAATATGCAGAAACGTCAAAATTAAGCAACTAACACAAGCTGCCAATCAGCTGGTTGTAGTGAAGATTTAAGATCGAATCCCGCCTACACCTGTGTTGAAGGGTTATATGGGTTGGGGGATGGGTTATCGGCTATACGTAAATAGTATAATTATGTTTTATTAATACGTAAGATTGAATCCCGTCTACACCTGTGTGTAAAAATACATTTTATTAATAAATAGTATAATTATGTTTTACATATATTAAAGTTATGTTTTATATATATTACATATATATGTTACATTTATTGATGTTTTTTAATTTTATTTTAAATTTTTTATTTATAAAAAATATTAAAAATTATAATTTGAGGCCAAAAAAGGGTTTTTTTTTTTTTTTCGTGAAAATGGCAAGGCAAGGTGCATAATGCCCTTGGGACGTATAGATCTTGAAAAGTTATTCAAAATTAAAAAAAAAGATAACCACAACTAGACTTCGGAGTGCAAAGTTATGGCTTCCAAAAGTTTGTACATAATTTAGTGCACAACCTACGACTTGGTTATTGGGTCGAACGGGTCAATGGTTGAATTGCCCAAGTTAGATGGTTTTTAACCAAAATGGGGAGTTTCAACAGAACCAAACCTAGAATCAAGGCCTAGTGACGATTTGAACAGTTCAATCGGCCAGGTCACCAACAAGTTGAAAACATTGATGATAAATAAGAAATGTTTTTATTAATGATGAAAATGACGTAAAATTTAAAACCAATTGGAAGTAAAAACTATTTTCCTTTTATCTCTCATTAAATCTCATATCTAAGGTATATTCTCTTATTAAATCCTATATTTAAGATATTGATGTGAATAAAAATTATCATATTCTTATCTATGAATATTCAGTCTTTCTACACTTAATTAACACTTGATTGAACTCATTACGTTGGTATTTTGATTCAGGGCAAGGAAAAAAGTTGTCAGAAGGAAGACAAGGCTAATATGATGGTTTTTCACAGTTTCGGCACCGTTCAGTAATCTGGGCCTAACTCTCATATCCAGGCTCCGATTGGGCTGATTCAAGAAGCACTGGAAAGATAAGAGCGAAATCTACAGCTTTTATGTTTTGGGTTTTGACAGATTCGGCCTGCACCGAAGTCAAAATCGGGCCCAAAGTCGAATCGGATCCGTAGTAAAGCCCAGCTCACAACTGAGGCCCAATTCGCAGAAAAGCCTTGTAGCAGCCCAACTTATTAAAGCAGCCCACTCGAATTCAAGAATCCAGAGTTTTCTTAGATTTGAATTCTAAATGTAATTATAGAAAGTTAAAAAAGATTGAGATCATTAGATAAGAGATAAGATAAGATAGGATATGATCAGTGTAAAACTAACATGGATTATCCATTCTTGAGATAACTCCAAGTAGTTGTAACAATCCCTCTCCAAAAACTATGTAAAGGGTGGGTGTACCAGCACCTGGCATCAATCAATTACTGAAGTTCCCTCTGAAGTAATCAAGAAGACCATCAAGAAAGCTTTAAGAAGGAGATCAACAAGGCAATGAAGTTTCAAGAAGGAGGTGGCGACAAGAAGAAAAGAAGATCTTAGCTCCAAGGGCAACATCATGAGTTCTTTCTTTCCTCTTGTTTGTTTTATTTCATTTATCATGAATTGATTTATTTATAGTTAGGGCTGTGGAAAGCCTAACAATGACAATGAATATATTTTCATTATGATTTATCCAAGATTGTTATTTCCATATAGTCTATGAGTTATTATGCATAATGCGATTAGGAGTGGTCATCTCTTAATTAATTGGGTTTATGTGAATGAATCGGGAGAGGAATTCATATAATGGACTGAATAATTCATGGTGTGAATTGAATGGTATATAGGGATATATACACATGATTCATCTGAATGTATAAGTTTTTCTTTGAACTTAATGCATTTCTATCTTGAGAACTCTAGTCGAGGGATCGAAGGGTTACTTGATAGAAGTAGATTTGATATATCTTGGGAAATAATATTAAATAAAATTGGAAAAACTTCAGTTTATGGAAATGGCAAATTATCTTGGTTAATCTCATCCATTAATATTCATTAGAATGGTTAGGCGGACCAATGGTCCTAGCGGTTTCAATTAATCGTTGCATATTCAGTTATTGATTACCCTTGCTTTTATTTTCTTTTTCTATTTTTTTCTCAGTATTTCTTATTGTTGAATCTGAATTTTGATTGTCCAAATAGTTAAGGAAGGCTGTAGTTCTAATACTTATTTTGTTAAATCCTCGTGGGAATGATATTTTTATACTACTGAAAATTAAAAATAGAAAAAGAAAATAAAAGCAAGGGCAATCAATAACTGAATATGCAATGATTAATTGAAATCGCTAGGACCATTGGTCCGCCTAACCATTCCAATGAATATTAATGGATGAGATTAACCAAGATAATTTATTATTCCCATAAGCAGAAGTTTTTCCAATTTTATTTAATATTCTTTCCCAAGTATATCAAATCTACTTCTATCAAGTAACCATTCGATCCCTCGACTAGAGTTCTCAAGATAGAAATGCATTAAGTTCAAAGAAAAACTTATACATTTAGATGAATCATGTGTATACATCCCTGTATACCATTCAATTCACACCACGAATTATTCAGTCCATTATATGAATTCCTCTCCCGATTCATTCACATAAACCCAATCAATTAAGAGATGGCCACTCCTAATCGCATTAWGCATAATAACTCATAGACTATATGGAAATCACAATCTTGGATAAATCATAATAAAAATGTATTCATTGTCATAGTTAGGCTTTCCACAGCCCTAACTATAAATAAATCGATTCATGATAAAGGAAATAAAACAAACAAGAGGAAAGAAAGAACTCATGATGTCGCCATTGGAGCTGAGGTCTTCTTTTCTTCTTGCCGCCACCTCCTTCTTGAAGTTTCCTTGCCTTGCTGATCTCCTTCTTGAAGTTTTCTTGATGGTCTTCTTGATTACTTCAGAGGGAACTTCAATAATTGATTGATGTCAGGTGCTGATATGCCCACCCTCTACTTAGTTTTTGGGGAGGGGCTGTTACAACTACTTGTAGTTATCTCAAGAATGGATAATTCAGGTTGGTTTTACACTAATCATATCATATCTTATCTTATCTCTTATCTAATGATCTCAATCTTCTTTAACTTTATACAATTATATTTAGAATTCAAATCTAAGAAGACTCTGGATTCTTGAATTTGAGTGGGCTGCTTTAATAAGTTGGGCTGCTACAAGGCTTTTCTGCGAATTGGGCCTCAGTTGTGAGCTGGGCTTTACTACGGATCCGCTTCGACTTTGTGCCTAATTTTGACTTCGGTGCAGGCCGAATCTGTCAAAACCCAAAACATGAAAGTTGTAGATTTCGTTCTTATCTTTCTAGTGCATCTTGAATCAGCCCAATCGGAGCCTGGATATGAGAGTTAGGCCCATATTACTGAACGGTGCCGAAACTATGAAAAACCATCCTATTAGCTTTGTCTTCCTTCTGACGACTTCTTTCCTTGCCCTAAATCAAAATACCAGTGTAATGAGTCCAATTAAGTGTTAATTAAGTGTAGAAAGACTGAATATTCATAGATAAGAATATGATAATTTTTATTCACATCAGATATATTTTTCTCATCATTAAATTCTACTAATTAAATCCATAACATTAATTTTAATAAAATAAAAATAAATATTTTAAAAATAATTTGAAAACAAAATAATTTTCTTCCCTCTTGATGATGGGTAAACAATTCAACCATTTGGGGTCAAATCCGTTAATAAATAATGCCATAATTAAATAATAAAAAATTGAAATAAATAAAATATATAATACAAACAAATAAAAAGAACTGAGCATGTCATTACTATTGTGTATTCATTATACTGAACAAAAATAAGTATGAATTGTAAGAAGTATATTTGTAAATGATGAAAATGGAATGCCAAAATTAAAATCAACCTAAAAAATGAAATGATGTCATAATCAAATAATAAAATTTTTAAAAATAGAAAATACAAAGAATCACAAAAATAAATATTATACATAAGATATAATGTTATATGTTTATGAAAAATAAAATATTGGATACATATATAATATTACACATTCATTATATTGAACATAAATAAATATTATATATAAGATATAATTTTATCAATAATGAAAATGTAATACAAAATTTAATGTCAACATAGAAATCAAACTATTTTTCCTTATGGGTCATGGGTTAGTGGTTTGGGTCAAATAGATTAATCAATAATCCAACTTTTTAAAGAAATTCATGGTGTCATAATTGAATAATAAATATTTAAAAAAAGATAGAACACAAAAGGTAAAAAAGTATAGAGTTTTGTTAAAGACATTTTAGAACATTTCTAATGTTATATAATCACTATATTAAATAAAAATAATTGTTAAAATAAAAATTATTTTTATTTAAGACATAAATGGAATACAAAATTTAGTAGTAGTAGTAGTAGTAATTGTTATTGTAATTTATAATTTCTACAGGTGCACATTTAGTACAAGTAGACCTATTCATGGGTCGGGCTGGGCTGGGCTCAGGCCGAGCTTTTACTCTTCATAAACATGATTTTGTTAGGCCCGAGCTCGAGCCCGGCCTGATCAACAGGCCTATAACATGGGCCTGAGCCCCGCCCCAATGAAAACCCCGAAGCCCGGGCCCGAGCCCATAGCTCGACCTAACAGAAGAAAGAACTCACTGCCGGTAATTGTGTTTGCTGGTGCTGAGTTCGCATCTCTAAAAGAGAGATAGAGAGGATTCACCAGCCGATGCTCAGTTCGCGGTGAGATGCAATTTTGACAGTGAAAAGAGGAGTCA